CCGGGGAGGGAGGTCAGGGCCCTCTGTGGATGAAACTCAGGCATTTCTGGTCCCCTTGGGCTCTGGGGGCTGCATGCCCACAGCAAGCAGCCTGGCTCTGGTAGACAGGTGCCAGGAAGAGGCAAGCCCAAAGGCCAGGTGTTCACACCCCAGGCACCAGTGCTTCCTGGCTGTGGGAGTCAGAGGTTGGGGAACCTGGTGGTGAGAATGGCCACCAAGCTCAAAAGAGAGAGCTGCAAGCCCCTCCATGGACATGTCTGCCACCACCCACAAGGGTCATTAAGTTACTGTGCCAGAGGGTGGCCACCAAGGAAGGGCCTTTGACCTCCAGTTAGTCACCTCATAAACATTATTTTCCACACCCTGTCCTGTGGGTTTGGCCTTCTGTGGTGGCTTCTGTGATTCTGGAGGCTATGCCACTGGGGTTCCAAGTACCAGCAGGGTTCCCCACAGTGAACAGGTTTCAGCTGAGCCTCCAGACTAGGATGGACTAGGAGGAAAGGCTGGTGCCCTGCTTTGAGAGGTTAGCTGATGCAAAGCCTCTGGACCCCAACAGAATGTTGTCTGACTCAGTTGCTGTGGACCTGTCAGCAGGCAGGATTAGTCACCAGAGGAGGGTGAAGTGGAGAGCCAGTGAGGTGAGGGATTTTTGCAGTAGCCACAGCGGTGGACTTGAACATACAGGTGATGACAAGCCTGGGACTGTACGCGTTTCAGTCCATTGTCATAAGGCCACCATGAGTCAGAGTTGACCAGCTAACATCAACGACAGATTATTGTATGACTTAAATTAGGGGTCGGCACACTTCCTATGAAGGGCCAGATTTGAAAGTCACCATAAATAATACATGAACAAATGGGTGTGGCTGTGTGCCAGTAAAACTTTGTTTATAAACACAGGCTTGATGTGGCCCTCTAGCCGTATGGGCCGACCCTTGCCTTGAGGGGCACACACGCTCAATAGAGAGATCTAGAAGAATGAGGAACACAGAATCTATTTAGTCCCACGATCGAAACACCCGTGGTTGCTGTTTTGATGAATTTCCTTGTCTCGTTCTAAAGATTTTTGCTCATAATTGGGACCGGACTGTATTAGTGACTGTGTATTTTGTCGTTTTTCAGGTAACAGATAATCTATCTGTTATCATTTAAACAACTCTCTAAACTAAATCTTAGAATCCTGTCTTGCTTGGTACCATCATCTATTTAATCAGGCCATGATTAGTGAACGGTGTGCTTAAGGCTTTCTTAGTTCATGTACACATGCGTTTTGTCTTAGTAATGACGCCGAGAACCTTTGAATCTGCTTCCTCGGCCAGATCACTGGCACAGGGTAGGCTTCTGTGAAGTGAGAAAAGTTGTGTCCTATGTGTGTCTGAGGCTCGTCAGAGTTGCACGGTGCTCTCCAGCGCTCTGTCAGAGTTTGCTCCCTTCGTGAAGCCTTGCTGAGGGCTGGGGGTGACCGCTGGGCGCATCCCTTCTCCTCCCAGGCGTTTGGGAGATGGGAGCTGCTGCTGTTGTGGCTGCTGTCAGAGGTTCTGAGGGTGCTCGTTCTCTGCTCAGGAGAACGGAGGCCGACGCTCTGCTGACGGATCGCTTGTTGGCAGTAACTTGGGTAGTCAGCATGTCAGGTGCACCTCCAGGTCCACTTGGTGGAGCTGACAGCCCCTCTCAGGGAGGACCCCATTAGAGAAGTGGGCCGCTCCTGGAGTCTTGGGGTGTGAGAGGGACACGCCACCTTAGCCTGAGTCGGACCTTCACTCTGGTGGCAGCAGCTGGCGTCACTTGGGGAACCTGAAGGAAGACACAGAGCCAGCTTGTCCTGGAGCCCTGGGGGTCAGCTGAGTGTAGTGGACAGCCTGAGCCCACAAGCCAGCCAGGCAGATCCCGTGGGAGCCACAGAGACCATCCCGTGAGGCCACACTTTCTGCCCCTCCCGGCCATGTCTCTTGCCTTGTCCCCATCTGCCCCCAGAAGCCCTTTTTGGCACGGATGCAATTACTGGCCCCCCTGCCTTTGGCTGGATCAGATTGAAGCAGCCATCCCCCGCCCAGGCCTGTCCTTATTACCCAGCCGCCCAGAGCTGCGGAGCGAGCGCTTGACTCCATGGTGGCGCCGGAACATGGGGCCCTGGGGCATGCTCAGCCTGCAGGGGGCCACTCAGACCTCCCTCTCCCCAATTTGGATCTGATTTCTCCATCAGAAATTAATGATACGGCCAAGCTCCCCCTGGAGGGCTCGTTCCATCTCTGTCGTGAGGCTGACAAGGACGCTGAATTGGGGAACAGGAACTGAGCTAAGTCAGGAACGTTAACCTGGGTAACTCCAGTGGATTCCTACGAAAACACAAGTTCTGGTCAGTGGGGGCCTGGTGGGGGCAGCCGCAGCCCGGGCCTCGTCAGTGTGGTTTCTTTCCCGTGTCCTCATTGGCATTGGGAGGCTGCCCTGGCACCCTCCCCACCTCTGTGCCCCCTTGCCTCCCCAGGGCCAGTGAGCAGTTTATGAGCTGTGGGAAAGAGCTGCACATGGCATCTACACGTGTCTCTGTCAGGTGTCAGCGTATGGCAGCTCGCTGCTGGTGCTGCTCGGATCATGGGTTTTCAGGGCTGGTCCCTGCCAGGAGCTTGCCCCTGATCCTGTAACAGAGCACAGAATGTCAGCCCCAGGAACATGGTTTTGAGGAGAACGTGGATCTTTGCAAAGTCCTGGCAGCTTTCTCCCCTGCACTGGAGGCCGAGGTGAGGCACCGTGTATGTGGTGCTCGTGCCTGAACTCAGCTGCCTGGTTGCAGGAGTGCCCGCGGACGGGAGTCTGCATTTTCAAGGCTGTCACCTTCCTGCCCCTGGGAGGCCCAAACCAGACCAGACCCATCGATATGGAGTCAAGTGCAACTCACGGCGACCCCATGTGACAGAGTCAGAATGCCTCATAGGGTCTCTTGGCTGTGGTCTTTATGGGAAAGATGGCCAGGCCTTTTTTCTGCAGCACCGCTGGGTGGGTTCGAACACCAGCCTTTGGGTTAGTAGTCCAGTACAAGCCGTTCATACTTGTGCCAGCCAGGGGCCTCGCCAGGAGCCTGTTCTCCCCAAACCCTCGCCCCCATACAAATGAAAAACCTCACTGTGAGCAACAGCCCCCAGGAGATGTGCTTATGAGTATGCCCAGCCACTGTCACCCTTGAAGGTGGCCTGAGGACCTGCCACCCTGAGCAGCTTTGCTGTGATAGGGCAGCCACCCTGGACAGAGGATGCACGGGAACCAGGCCAGTGTGGGGTGGGCGGGCAGCTGACAGGCAGACGCACACAGGTGCTCCCCCAGTAACTCAAGGAAAAGCAGTTGCAGAGCCACTCAATCCAAATCCCTTCAGCCCCATCGATGGAGACTTGTGAGAGGTGTGGCCAGGCCAGGAGCCGAAGCTCGGCACCATCTGGTCTCCGCACTCGCAGCCGAATTGCACTGCCAGCGCACTCACCCACCCCGTTTTCCATTAAATGCATTATGTTTGCTGGGACTCACTTGGCCATAAATATCCCTTCCTGCTCAGGGTGGCCGGGTGATTGCTGTTCCCGAGCCCAGGCTCCAGGAACCAGCAGAAGGTGCCTCATGGCCATGGGGATGGGGCAGGCAACTATAGGAAGTCCCTGGATGCTCTCCTCCACCTCCCCACTGCCAGCAGCCTCCAATTTGGGGTCCTAAAACGTCAGTGTGTCCTGAGCAAATTGAGGGAGGTTTGGAAAGCTCGTCAGGGCAAGGGGGACACAGCTGTGTCACTCAGCTAAGTCTTTTTCCTGTGTGCCTCCTTCATCCCTGCTGAGAAAAAGGCAGTGGCAACGAGAGGGCTGTGGAAGGAGGGGCTCGAAGACCGGTGGTCTGTTCCTCCTCAGCTGCTTACGTGGCGGGGGCAGTGGGAGGGGCAAGGTCCAGGCTGCAGGAAGTGGCAGGAGATTGGGCCCTCCCCCTGCCCTGTGCAGGGGCCCCTGGGTGTGTTCCTGGGGATGTCCCTGGGCGTACTCCTGGCTGTGTTCTGAGTTCTGGGTGGAGTGGGGGCTGGGTGTCCTGTGCCAACAGCGCTGTGCCTTCTGGCTCCTCCCCTGCTGTATCCACTCCCCTAGCCTTGATCTCGGTCTCCCACCAGCACCATGCTCCATGCCTCCTGGGAATTGTGCTTGTTTGTTTTTCTGTCAGCTGTGGGGCCTGGCGGCTGTCTTCCTCACGGAGGCCTCTGTGGCTGAGTGAGGGAGAGTTCTGTTTGCGCTGACACGAGACGGCAGAGCTCGGACGCACTGGCTCCGGAGGCTCCCTCTGAACACTAGGTCTGCCATCCCAATGCTGAGCCCTCCCCTGCTCGGGACATGGCTTGTGTTCCTTCATTGCGCACCAGGTAGTTCAAAGACACGTTGCTGTCAGGTTGCCTTTGAGTCACCGTGACCCTGTGTGTGTCAGAGTAGACCTAAGCCATGCAGGGTTTCACCGACTGGTTTTGCAGGAGTAGATTGCCAGGTCTCTCTTCAGAGGCACCACTGGGTAGACTTGACCCCCCCAGCGTTTCGGTTCGTAGCCAAGTGTGTTAACTGTTTGCGTCGCCCATCATCCTGCTGGGTGGTAGTTGCAACTGTATGGAGTAGACCAGGGGTTCACGGTCTGGGGGGTTGTGTGGCAGCCTCAGAGCCCCTGGGTGTGCAGATGGTTGACTGCCAGCAGAAACATGGGAAGTGTGAGTCTTCCCAGAGGCACCGCAGAAGAAAGGTGCCATTCTGCTTCCAAAAATCTAGCCGTTGAAAACCCTGTGGAGTGCAGTTCTTTTCTTACACACCTGGGGTCGCATCAACTTGACTGAAACAGCTACTTCCTGTCTCACTGTCATAGAAGTTCCTGAAAAGGAAAGGCGTGGGCAAAGCGGCAGGGGGCCACGGGGACAGGCCTGCTCAGTGCTTGGTGTCCCAGCCCTTGGGTTGGGGGCAGAGGCCTTCGGGCCAGCCTCATGCTGCTCTCCCCGGCAGTGCACGTGCCGGAAGGACATGGTGAAGATCTCCATGGACGTCTTCGTGCGCATCCTGCAGCCCGAGCGCTATGAGCAGTGGAAGCAAGGCAAGGACCTGACGGTGCTCGACCACACGCGGCCCACCGCCCTCAGCAGCCCCGCACTCAGCTCCTGGAGTGCATCCTGTGCCTCGCTCAAGGCCAAGCTCCTGCGCAGGTGAGTGCCCGCCATACTGTGCTGCACAGCGGTCAGTGGCACTCCCCCCACGCGCCTCAGCCTCCAGGCCACCTCCATGACGGGCAGCTGCTGATGGCCTGCAGCTCCAGGGCATGCCCTCCTTCTGGCTGTCTCTCCCTCGCTCTCTTCCTCCTCTCTCCCCTCCTCCTCCTCCTCCTCTCCTCCTCCTTTTCTGCACCTCCCCCCACCCACTCCCGGGTCTTGAAGGCAGAGGGTACTTTTTCTAGCCCTGACTTCCTGGCCGCTGCTAGGCCTTGAGGAGGAGGGTCTGTGTATCCAGAGTTCAATCCCAGTCTCCTACTCTCTGTCACACTAGCTCCCAAGGGGACTACCCCTTGGCTACACATACCTCCCAGGAGGAGGGCCTGTTGTTGATATATGTGGGGTATTGGGGTGAGAGCCCTGCTTCTGCCATTTTAGGACAGTTCAGACCCTTCTTGACTCCAAGAGGCCATGTGTGGCAGGCGGGCCCTTGTTCTTGTGGGGCCAGGTCACTTCTGTCCTGTTGCCCAGTGGCTCCTCGTGTATGTGCCCCAGATTCACAGTTGTGAATTGTGTCCTTGGGTCACCCCATCCCGTCTCAGAATTCCCTCTGGAAACTGAAGACCCCCTCTTCACCTGAATAGGCCCCTCCTGCACCCAGCACCCCAGCAGCCAGTGTGCCGGCATCTGTGGGAGAGGGTGGGTGGCTGCAGACTTGGCATAGGGCTCCACCGATGGGGAAGCAGGCTTCCTGCCAAGAGAACGGGGCAGCTGTGAGTACTGCAGACCTGGCCCTTCATGGCACTCTGTATCCGAGTTTGCAGGGTCTGAGGCTACTCATGGGTGTGGTCTGCCAGCAGAGCCCAAAGGGAATGCCTTTGGATGCCCAGGGAGCACTTCGCTAGTTACATGGAGGAGGGTCAGCCCACTTGCCAACAGGGCCAGAGTCACTCTCCAGCTCATTTTTTCCAACCATGTAAGAACATAAGATCCGTTTTTAGCTGGCAGCCTGTACAAAAACAGGCGGGAGCACATCTGCCTGTGGCCCTCCTTGGTGTAGATGCTGTTGTTCCCTTTGCTTTGAACAGTAGACCTTTCCATCACTCTGGGCTTCATCTTGTCCCAGCTGCAACAAACAGTCCTACCCAGGGCCCAGAACCGATGCAAAAGAGCCAGGCAGTGGTTTGTCTGAATTATTTCCATGGTGATGCCATTCAGCAGATTTCTGCAGAAACATGCTTGGGATAGGTTTCTGTGAAAAGCACACCCATTCTGGAACCTTCTCCCTGAACGGGTGGTCCTTGTTTTTGGCACGTCCATCTGTGAGTCCATGAGTCCTGGGCACTCTCGGCCTCTCTCTCCCCTGTCTCCCCTACCCCCGGCCCTTCTCTTTGAGAACCTTCTATCAGCTCAGGAACATTTTCACATCTGTTCCTGACAGCCAGATGAAGGTGAGTCTTCCTTTTCTGGTTTCTTTTGTTGTCTGTCCTTTTGATTTCCTGCTCTCCTGTGTGTTCCTCATGAAAAGCAACTGTGGTGAGGTCGTTTTGTGGTGGTTCCTGCTATTTCCCAAGCACGGAGCAAGCTGGCTGCATGGCCCAGCTCCGAGGCCCGGATGGATGTGATATTTGCATAATGGTTAATTGATTGTGGCTCAGGCTAATTGGTCAGCAGAAGGGAGTGCCAATAAATAGGTGCCACATTCCAGAAGGGGAATGGAATTGGAGTTCTCTAATGAGCTACCAAGGAACCCTGGTGGTGCAACACTTAAGTGTTCGGCTGCTAACCAAAAGGTCAGGTTTGAACCCACCTAGTGGCTCCACAGGAGAAAGACCTAGTGATCTGTTCCCATAAAGATTACAGCCTAGGAAGCCCTGTGGGGCAGGGCTGCTTTGTCACACGGGGTCATTATGAGTTGGGATCGACTCAACGGCACCTGACAACAATAAAGAGCTGCCAGTAAGAGAAGCGTCGTCTACCTCGGACAGAATCTTCTCTGAGAATCTTCTCTCAACAGAGGGAATGGGACCCTGTGTGTCCCTGCATGGGCCAACCTCATGCCTGCCTGCCCACCCAACCGCTGCCCTGCCACCCACTCACTTCCTGCAAGCCCGCCCCTGTCACGCTCTGTTCCTTTCTAGAATCCCCTCTCTCCAGCCACCCCCACCCCCCGCACTGCCATCCTGGGGAGCTGCAGGATTCCGACAGTGGGCTGAATAACAAATTCAGTCGTGTTCCCAAGGATATAATTTTCTTTAAAGCCTTTAGGATGTAATATGGGGCTGATTCCCTTATTTTTTTTGAAGTAATGGATGAGGGTCCTTTTCTCGGGCACGCTGATTGGTGAGGCAGCTTTGAAGCCTAGGCTGATGCTGCCCTTCCCTGCCTCTGAGCAGCTGTGAGGGCCAGGCTCTCACCTGGGTGCCCCCATGTGGTTTACTCTCCCCTTCGCCTTTGCTGGACCAACTGCCACCATCAGGCTTCCCTGAGCTGCTGAGAAAGTATTTTAGGGTGGGGAGTCACCCCTCAAGAAGGATGGAAGGGCACTGCTGACATGGGGTCTGGATCATTCTCTTGATGCAGGGGGTGGGGGCTGTCCTGGGCCCTGCAGGGTGCTAAATGGCATCCTTGGCCTCTTCATTTGATGACAGTAGCACCTCCCCCAGTTGTGACAACCACTCGTCCCCAGACATCACCCAGTAGCCCTGGGGGGCAGAATCACTCAGGTGAGAACCCCTGGCTTAGGATATTCCCGTGTCGCACAGTCCTCTGGCCTCCTGACTTCCTGCGACGCTGCCCATACTTAAATCTGCACACTGAGTGGGGAGGAGAGAGGAGGAGAGTCACAGGAGCTGGAGGGCCCTGGTTTACACCGTCTGACCCATTGGGTTTATTCTGCTGTGTGGTGTGAGCAGGGAGTGAACGCATTGTTTTCCAGATATTTAATGTAGGGCCCCTCCCCCTCCATACTGTTGATATAGGGCTGGGTCCTTCTCTGGAGTGGGGCCGTCCTATGTACTGTAGGGTGTTGAGCAGCATCCCTGGCCTCTACCCACTCTATGCCAGTAGCTCCCCAACCCTGTAGTCACAACCACAAATGTCTCCAGACATTGCCAAGTGTCCCCTTGGGGCAGAATTGCCCCTGGGCGAAGACCACTGCCCTAGATGAGGGAGTAGGGTTGGGGCAGGCTTCAAGTCCATCCCACATCTTCTCCAATGCCCACACTGCTGACGCTCATGTTCTTGTCGGGACACTGCCGTTTCTCCCTTTGCCGGCCTATCTGGCAGGTCCCCATGTAGCCTTGCTTCTCTGGGTGCTGCTTTGTGTGGCATCTCAGAGTCCAGGCCAAGTGCTGGCTCCTCCAAGAGGCATTCTGTGAGACCACCCAGGCTGGGCTGCAGCCCTCTGCCTGTGTCTGGCTGACCCTCTGAGAGTTTATCTTGCATGGCCACACTTGGCTGGTGCATTGACCCTCTTCCTGGAGCTGCTGGTGTCCCTGTTCATGACAAGTAGGATACACCTTCTTGCTGTCTGAGCTGGGTCCAACCCCTATGTGTGGCCAGGGGCCCTGCAGGAGGTGGAGGCAGCTGTGGGGCTGGTGTGCTGCCCAGTGGCATCTTCATGCGGCCGCCTCTTTCTGGACCTCTCCAGTGGCCCTCGCCATATGCATCCTGTCTCTGCGTCCCAGCTCCCGCATTGTTTCCCACAAGCATGCTGCTGGTCACGGTCCATCCCCTACGTGTCACAGCAGATGCGCTTGGGCACCTCACCCAGCGTCTGCACAGGCCCTGACGCCACACACAGCGTGCAGGTCTGCCAGAAGACAGAAAGATGGAGACAGAACGAGCTTCACAGGATCTCCCACCCCTCAGCCTACCCCAGCCCAGCTTCCCCTCACCAGGGCTGCTGGGCCTGGGGGCCCTCACCCAGTGCCAACCCACCACCTGGGGCTGTGCCAGCTGGATGACATCCTTGGAAGCATAAGTTCTGCTGCGGAGGAGGAAATTAGGTCCCGTTGAGAGTGCCAGCCTCATGGAGCACTGTGCACCCCATCCCCCGAAAGGGCCAGGAGCCACTCTGAGGCCACCACATGGTCAGAGGTCCTGGGGCAGAAGCAGTCTCTGTCCCAGCCGTGAGACTGAGCCCACCGAGCCCTCTTGTCACCTGAGATTGGAAAGACACCCACTTCATTCTCTAAAACATTAGTGTGGTTATTTGTACTAAGCCCTAGCATTTGGCGTGTAAAAATTCCATCAAGTGGCTTCCCCGTTCAGCAGATGAAGTGTGTGTTCATCTGTGCTTGCTCCTGAAATGCCACTAAGATGGTTGCAAAGGAATAGCAGAGCGCAGCGGGGACAGTGTTAGCCGAGCAGTGGCCTCAGGCTTCAGGGAGGCAGGGATGGGCCAGTGTCCCTGACTTTGCAGCACAGAGAGAGCTCAAACCAACAGGCCTGTGGAGCAGGAAGCCAGAGGGCTCTCGCCACCAGACTGTGCAAAGTCCTGGGGCCAGAGGCACCGGCACCCTTCAGGCAATGACGTGTGGTAGGCTGGAAACAGGAGAATTACCACAACATGTGAGCCCAGAGCCCTTAAGGTTGCTTCCCGGCCCCCACCCCATGTCCCAGTAGAAGACAGTGGCTCTGCTCCTTGACAGGGGAGGAGGGAGGTGCCCTTCTTGAAAGTAAGGCAGGTGGAAGCCTGGCCACCAGTTTCATGCCCTCCTCCTGAGCCAGAGAGTGGAGGGGCCTTTCCAAGGTCACAGAGCAGCCCAGCAGAATAGAGCTGCAGACCCTGATATCGGGAGATCCCTGAGCCCCTGCCCCTCTGCTGCACAGCTCACACCTGAGATCATACAAAAGGACAGATAGCCAAGGGCCCCGAAACAGTGCAGGAAGCTCTCCAATATGAAGGACAGTCCAGAGTGAGAAAGAAAATGGGAGTCCAAAGAAAGAGCTGATGCAGTAACCAGAAGATGACATTACGACTTAACCCTCAGCGGGGAGAAGACACTGCATTTATGAAGAAGAAGCTGTTATAATGAAGAGGAAACGTTTAGGCAGGAGACAGCGCTTTGACACTAAAATGAGAGCACAGAGAGCTAGATGTTGGGAGTCAGCTCCAGGAAGTCTCCCAGAATGCAGAGCACAAGGGGTGAGTTCGCCAGTAAAGTAGGGAAGCCAGGAAATCCAGGAAGTGAACATCTAATAGGAATTTCAAAAAGGAGATTTCCCAGAACCGAAAGACTTGCATTTCCAGATTAAAAAGACACTCCAAAACTCCACTGCCATTGAGTCGATTCCAACTCAGTGCCCCTGTAGGACAGAGTGAAACTAACTTCGTAAGGTTTCCAAGGCTGTCAGTCTTTACGGAAGCAAACTGCCACATCTTTCTTCCACGAGGCGGAGGCTGGGTTCAAAGCACTGAGCTTTCAGTTGGTAGCTAAGTATTTAACTACTACATCACCAGGCTCCTTCTAAAAAGTCACAGTGACGGAAAATCAGCCATACTACAACTCAGATTTGTGAAATTTTACAACTTGAGTTAAACAAAAGATCCCAAAAGCTTCTGGAACAAACCAGTCAGTATAAAGAATGAGAGATCCTAGGGCATTGGATGTGTAGCAGTGTACTTCTTCAAGCTAAGAGACAAAGAACAAGGCTTTTGAATTCAGGAGGGAAATGAATTTCAGCGTAGAAATAGGTACCTGGCCAAAACACCAATTAATTGTGCAAGAGGAATAGAGATCTTTTGAGACGTGCAAAATCTCAGATTTTACCTCCTTTTTCAGTAAGCTACTGAAGGATGCACTCCTGCTAAACATGAACATAATCCAAGAAAGACAATGGACTCAAGGAAATGTGATCCAATTCAGGAGAGTCAAGAGGGAACCCATGGTAATGGGGAGAATCTGATACTGAGATACCTAGAGAACTGCCTGTCCCCAGGGAGCATGAACGGGGGTTCCCAGGTGTCACTGAGGAGTATATGATACCCACTGTAGGAGACCACACCAAAAGGAGTTTAAGAGCAGCACAATGGAGAGCTTGGAGTCACCAAGAAAACTCACCATCCAAGAAAAGGAAGAGTAACTATTCACTCGAGCAAGAGCAAGGCAGGAGTGCAATCAAAGTAGCTCCATTGCTCATGGATGAACAGTGTTTATAGCACAGTAAAAGTGTAAATACTGAATATTGCTGCAGCCAAAAGTGGTGGCAGATGTGAAGTAGGCAGGGGTGGCATGGGGAGGGATGGTCACACCCTTCATCTGGAGCCAGGAAGTCTATGGAGGAAGGCCAGACCCCAAAAGGAAGCCACAGCAGCCTGAGGATGAGCATGGAAGAAAATTCTAGAAGAAACTGTCAAGGGAGTAGGCACCGGGGAGGGGACGGGGAGACGGCTGCTATGAGCCAAACTGCAATTAGGATGCTCATGGTGAGCACTCCTTCCTCCTGCAAGTTTCTTGGCAAGTTAGTGGCGGTTCTTCGGCTTGTTTTTCCCAGCGTATGTTTGCACAAAGTGGATTATTTCTTTGCACACAGATGTGCCACTTGATTTTCCCACTCTGCCGTAGGACGTGGCTATCTTTGTATGTCCCTATGCAAAGGTGCCAGGAACCCTGGTGAGGCAGTGGTTAAGCGCGTGGCACCTAACCAAAAGGTTGGTGGTTTGAACCTTCCCAGTCGTTCTGCGTAAAAAGACCTGGTGATCTGCTCCTGTCAAGATGACAACCTAGAGAGTCCTATGGGGCAGTTCTCCTCTGTCCCATGGAGGTGCTGTGAGTCTTAATCTGCTCCACAGTGCCCAACAGCAAGTGGAGTTCCCACCCATGCAAGGCCAGGGCCATTGGATCCAGTCCCTTACAGTTCAGTCCCCGCTGTGTGTGTGGGGGGGGGCAGGTACACCTCCCTCAGGATGGCCAGGATTAAAGAGGATCTGAGCTCTGATCCCAGTGCCTTGTGGGGGCCGGGGCAGGCACCCAGTCTGCTGTGGGGGTGGGTGGGCAGGGTTGGACGTGGCTTCTAGGGCTGGTTCTGGGGGAAGGAGGGTGTGAGATAGGGCTTAGGACTGGGTGAGTGGAGAGGGGCCGAGAAGCGAAGGGCATCGGCAGGAAAGGTGAGTGGGTGGTCACCTGGGGTGACTGAGGGGAGTCTACAGTGGCAGCCCAGCCGGCAGCGACAGCATTCTCAGACCAGTGACACCCCCCTGGGGGGCAGGTGGAGCCGGGAGCTGGCTGCCCTTGGGGTTCTGGGCCTCAACACGGTGGATGCTGCCTGTCTGCACGTAGAGGCCTCTGGCACTGCTACACATCTGTTATGGAGCTGACTTCGCCTGCCCAGGGCCGTTGGTGGCACTGGTGGCGTCAAGAACACTCCCTGGGAGGGGTTGCTGGCCCTGGGCCATGAGTCCTCAGCCCCGTCAGCCCTCACCACCCTCACCAGCCCCGCTGTGATGCCCCCGCTGTGGCCGCCCGCCCTGTGCCATGCCTTGTGTGCTGCCATGCTCTGCATGCGCGTCCCTGCCCACTGTGCTCCAGCCGCTTCTGCCGCCGGTCATCTCTTGTGACTCATTCACAAACATCACGTGCAGATGGCCCTGGGACAGCGCAGTGACAAGCCCGGACCCCTCCCGAGGGGTGCCGCCTCTAGCGAGCTAGGCAATGCTGAGTGTGAGTGGGAACACGGACAGAGGGAGTGGCTTTAGCTGAGGTGATCTGGGGGCCACTCTGAGGAGGTGGCTTGGAGGACTCACCCTGGAGAGCTGGGGGATGGGGTGGCCATGAGGGGATGGCACAGAGGATGGGTAAGGAGTCGGGCAGCAGTGTGGGCCAGCAGGGCCAGGCCCAGGCTGTCCAGGGGACAGGGCTACTGCAACCACTTGTGACAGCCTGGCTCAGATGAGAAGTGGGGGGCCCTGGCATGAGATCCTTCCACCTGGCCCCAGTGAGAGGCCCTGCACCTCTGTGACCGCTTGGTCCTGGAGGCAGCAGCTGCCACAGGTGCCCCCACAGTGTGTCCAAGCCCACCACCACCACTTGGCTGGTCACCCATGGGGCACGGGGTGCAGGGCCTTCACATGGGGCCCCCACAGGGGCTCTGGGTGGGCCATATCTGTAGCCAGAGCTGGGCCTTCTGAGGCATCGCACTGATACGGACTGGCAGGTCAGTGCCTGTCCTTAGCGGGGTGGTGGGGGCAAGTATTGCAGGCAGTGTCACTGAGCAGGAGAGCCTGCGCTTCTCAGCTTGACACCTGTTGGCTGGTCCAGACAGGAACTTCCCATTGTGTTCTGGCTTTGTTCTTCCAGAGCAGGGGGAGGAAAAGAAAGACGAGTGGCTGCGTGGGTTGAGGCCCAAGCACATGGGCCTCGGAGGCCTGGGGGCACTGGAGGCATCACCAGGGACAGTGGGCACCACCCACCCCCAGAGAGGGTGTGGATGACCCCGAGCCAGGCCTCCCCACACTCACAGTGTCTGCCTGGAGTCCCTGGGGAAATGACTGGTGATGTCACATGGTCTCTTGGTAATCGGCAAGCATCTCTTTGCCCCCTGCCTGGGAGGGACCCTGGACTTTATTTCCCTGCAGTCAGATAGGTGGGGAGGCCCTGGGCACCTGTGCACTCTCACCCGCCTTTGTTTCTCCGCCTCTTGCTCTTTGTAGCCCCCAGCCTCTCTCTTGATGAGGAGGTCTTTGCTAGGCCAGGTCTGTAGGCCTCAGTGTCAGCGGTGCACCTTTCTCTGCCCCATAGGCAGATCCTGGGCATGAGCTGAGAGGAGGTCCCCGGAGGCCATCGGGGTTCGGAGCAGGTCAGGGAAGGAGCTGTTGTGACCGTGGAGCTCCTGTGGGGCACGAGGGCTGTAGGAGCGTATGGAGTGGGATGGGGCCATGCCCAGGCTTTTAGGTGAGACATCTCGGGGAGTTGGAAAAAGCCCTAGAGAAAAACTCCCTGAAATTTACATTCTAGACAAATTAGTCTGAAAGAAAACAGACTCTGGAGAAGGACTGAGGAGGAGAGGAAACCAAATCTAGAAAGGAAGAAAGAGCAGACCAAAAAGCCGGGGCTGTCGTAAGTGTCTTTTTTGTTTTGTTTGTCATCTAGGCATTTTACATGACCTGCTGTTTCCATCAGAGCTCAGGCTCTTTGTCTGTCCCGCCTCCATGCGCAGCTGCATCTGGGCGTCCCTGTCCCCCCATCCCATTGGTCTGTCATCAGCACCTGCGCTTGACACAACCCACCACACCCTGCCCACCAGCCATTGGCCCTTCCTGCCACCCATGCCCCCTCAGGCCTCTCCTCCCTCCACAGTCCCGCCCCCAGAACAAAGCCCCCTGGGCCTGGAGCTGTTGTGGCTGCTGCCTGGGGGCATGTCGTCTGGGGCGGAGCCTCATCTTGTGGGGATTCGCATACAGGCCAGGCCTCTTCCTGTTTCTTCACCTTCTGTCTGACCAATCTCCTCCCCAGGTCTCACCGGAAGCGGAGCCAACCCAAGAAGCCCAAGTCAGAAGACCCCAAGTCCCTCGGGGAGGGCACAGGGGCCGGGGTGGCCCTCCTGGAGGACACAGGCGGGGGCACAAAGGAGGAGGCGGAGCCTGAGGAGGAAGAGGAACAACTCATGCCGCTGCCTGGCCGCGAGGCCGAGGGCACAGAAGGTCAGTGTTGGCCAGCTGTCCCAGTGCCGGATCCTCCTGACACTGAGCCAGTGTCTAGCGGGCAGAGCCAGCATCTGCTGCAGCCAGAGAAGCCCCTGCTTTTAAAGAATCCAATTCTATTGCTCTCTTGGAAGGGTGGGACATTTATTAAAACACACGTTACAGAGCATGCGTACAGAAAGTCTTTCTACCGGAAATGAGAAGAGAGCTTTGGTCAGCCCATCCACAGGGGCTGCCATGCACACACCTTTTCATTTGAGGCCCCTACACTGGAGTGTGCCTGCCTGCCGTGGGGATGGCTCTCCACCCTGTGCATCCTCCCTTCCCTGAGAGGAGGGCTGGCCCTGGCCCTGCTGGGCATAGGAGAGCCACTGGGCCCAGCTGAGCCACCCAGACCTCTCCTCAGGGTCCCCCTCTTCCCCAGGCACTGTGGCCCTTCTGAGGCAGGCAGAATGGGCTTGGCGGTGCACGTTTCTTTCTGAGCACAGGGCTCCCATGAGCTGCGGGGTTGCTCAGACAGACCTGGAACCAGTAGGCGTGTAGGCGTGTAATTCTAAAATGTGCCCTTTGTGCTGGGTGGCACACTCTGTGATGCGAGCCGGCCATCTGAGAGCTTTTTGAGGGTCCCCTACTCAGTTTGTTTTACAGTGTTTCTCCTTTTATGACTGGATTTCATTTTCCTAATTTACCGTTTCATCTTCTCATCCATTTTGCACATTAGCAGCTGTCCTTGGGTCTACAAGAGGGAGCCCATCCCTCCCTAGGCCTTTCTGCATGCCCACTATTGAGCTGGGCACAGGGCCATAGATCACACTGACCAGACCATCTCCCAACCTCAGGCCTCCCCCTGGCAGAGCTGCCTCGGACCCAGGTCCCACCAGAAGGTTCTGCTTGAGTCCTCACATCTCTCTCTTTGTGGCAGACTGAAAGGAGTACATTTTCTGAGACCTCTAAGTTCATAGAGTGTCCTGTTGCTGATGTCAAAGATTAGGTGGTTTCCGTGGTGATTGTCCAAAGAGAGCAGACCAAGACATGGCTGTGGCTCTGCTCAACACACATGTAAGGGTTAGGCCAGGCACTGGGGCTGTATAGAAGAGGGTCACAGCTGGCCCTCACAGCCCCTGCAGCATGGCAGGAGAGGTGAATGTGAGCTCTGGCCCCCGTGACATGCCCATGGGACTGGAATAGAGGGAGGGGCTTGTGCTGAGGAGTTCTGTTAGGGAGCAGCTGAGTCCCTCAGGAGGGGCGAGTGAGGGTCCTGAGGCGCAGAACTCTAAAAAGGTGATGTTGTCAGTGCACGTGAAGGAGGAACCGAGCTGGGGAGAGTTTCTGTGTGGAAATGGATGCCGGAACCTCTTCAGAATGGCAACAGCAGGCAGCTCACACATGGGGGAATCCTGGAAAGGCGTTCCTTCCAGATCAGGGACAAGGCAACATCTTGTCTGTAACTGTTCAGTGCAAGACAGAAGGGTCTACCTAGCCCAGAATGGCAAGATGAAGAAATAGAAGGTGTTAGGATAGAAAGGAGGAATGAAACTATCATACTTACAGATGACATGACTATACAGAGAGAGAAAAAAACAAATCCATAGACAAAATGATAGACTTTCTCAAGGAGCTAGCAAAGTGGCTGGATATGAGCTTAATATACAAAAATGGCATTTCCTATATTATAGGAGTCTCTGAGTGGTACACACAGTTAATGCACTGAGCTGCAAACCAAAAAACTGGTGGTTCGAGCTCATCCAGAGACACCTTGGAAGAAAGGCCTGGTGGTCTACTTCCGACAAACCAACCATTGAAAACCCTATGGCTCACAGTCCTGCTGTGACACACATGCGGTCACCATGAGCCACAGCTGACTCAATGAAACTGGGTTAGCCATTGACAGACATTTTACCTTTCAGAAAGATACAAAATAATTCCAAACAAAAACGAACATAAATCTAATAAAAAATGTAGTAAGACCTTTATGGAGAAAATTAGAAACTGTCAGCAGATAAGAAAAAGAAGAGTTCAGTGGACAGAGTGATGTGCCACACATTAGGGAGGAACTCATTAGTATAAAGATACCATTTCCCCCAACTGTCTATAGATTCAGTGCAACTCTGCTGGGATCCCGGCAGGGTGTTGATGTGGACTGATGAGGATCCCACGAGCTGATTTGCAATGGGTGTGGAGGATGAAAGGCCCAAGAAAAAAGGGACCAGCCTGCAGAGCAGATCTACTGCTCATGGCTGTGTGAGTCCCTGAGGCTGTTGTACCGTAACAAAGTACCATTGACTTGGTGGCTTAAAATAGCATGCATTAGGCACCCAGGTGGCACAGTGTACACGGCTTCTAACCAAAAGACAAAAGATTGGTGGTTCAAACCCATCAGCTGCTCTGCAGGAGAAAGATGTGGTATTCTGCTTCCATAAAGATTACAGCCTTGGAAACACTTCTCTGTCCAATAGGATTGCTATGAGTTGATTTAATGGCAATGAGTTTGTTTTTGTTTTTTGAGTTGTCTCACAGTTCTGGAGGTCAGAAGTCCAAAATGAGTCTCACAGGGCCAGAATCAAATGTCGTCAGGGCTGCTACCTTCTGGAGCTCTAGTGGGGAGCCTGGCCTTTTCCAGCTTCCAGAGGCTGTTGTGTTTCTTGGCTTGTGACCCCCTCCTCACCTTCCAGGCACATCCCTCCAGCCTCTGCTTCCATCCCCACACATCTGTCTCTGAACCCCCACCTCTCTCTTTCATTTATTAGAAACCGTGGGATTCACTGGGCCCACCCGGATGATCCAGGCCAATCTCCCCACCGAAAGATCCTTCACTTCAATGCGGCTGTAAAGGCCCCTTTCCCACATACAGTAACATATTCATTGAACTTGGGGATTAGGGCGTAGACACGGGAATCATTATTCCGCCCACCACATGGCCTGAGAATTTATGTTTTAAAGACAGAACTTTAAAACTTTTAAAAGACTAGGAAGGAAAATACTTTTATGATCTTAGGCTTGGGAGGAATTTCATTAAAAAGCACAAACCATAAAGAAGAAGGATGGGTAGGTGCTGTCGCCTTGATGCCAACTCAGAGAGGCCGAGTGGCCGAGTGGTGCTGCCCCCAGGGCTTCCTGGGCGGCCATCTTCATGGGGGCAGACGGCCAGGACTTCCTTCGACGGAGCCGCTGGGGGATCAGACTGCGACTTTGAAGTTAGCAGCTAAGCACTTAACTGTTGGGCCACTAGGGCTCCTTTGTTTACCAAGAGATGAACCTTAAAGGAAGTGAAAAGACAAGCTGATGAAGGGAAAGCTATCCATAGCCCCTGGCAGCTAAAGTTCTCCTCAAGATCTTTGAAAATCACTTGAGTGGGAAATGAGCCACAGAGGAGGACAGCCCAGAGGCCACCAAACTCGCCTAGTCATCTGGGAAACATGAAATGAAGGCACATTGAGATGCTGCTGTGTCTCCACCGGATTGGCTGAGACTAGAAGGTGTGATGATCTGGCCCCATCCTCTGTTCCTGTTGGGATGCTAATGGGAGCCGCCTCTCTGGAGAGCAGCTGGCATCATCTTGCAGAGTGGGCTGTGCATGTCCTGTCCTGGTGGGTAGCTGCTCTGACTCAAGGTGACCCCACGGACAACAGAACAAACGTCGTCCAGTCTCACACCACCACCACAGTGTTGGTCTGCTGGAGTCGACCGGGTGGCCACTGTGTATGTCAAGGACCTTCCAACCTGGGGGCCCCCCTTCCAGCTCACTACGGGACAGCATTCTCTTGGATCCCTAGGGCTCTCACTGGCTGATTTTTCAGAAGCTGGTTCCCAGGCCTTTCTTCCTAGTCTGTCTCAGTCTAGAAGCTCGCTGAAACCTGTCTACCATGTGTGACCCTGCTGGGATTAGAAATTCCAGTGGCATAGCCTTCCAGCCTCACAGAAACATGCAAGCCACCACACACGACACACTAACAGATGGGTGGTGGCCATTTACTTTACCCCCAGTGGTTCCCATCTGGGACTTGGACCCTGGATAAACGCTTGCGTCTGACACACCTGACCCCAGTACAACTGCAGGAACAGCGACAAACAAACCAAGCTGAAAACGACCCAAAGGTCTAGTCACGAGGAAACAGATGGGAAAATGGCAGCTACAGAGAGCCCCTGTGTGATGCAGGGTGAGAAATGAGCGCTGCTGCTCTGTACCAGCAGGGTGGATCTTGGACACAGCGTCACCCGTAAGCACGAGTCACAGGAGCGTGCATACACTGGAATCCCTTTGTCGAAAGTTCAGAAAACACGCCAACCCAGAATGGATAGTCAAGGGAGCAGGCACGCTGAAGCAAAGAATGGGAGTGACAAGCTCCGGTGGCACCCAGTGGCTTCCCACAGGGAGTGGGGGCATAGTTGGGAGAGACACAGGAGCGTTCTTTGTTGTTGTTGTTGTTGGGTGTGGTGCTATCAAGTCAATTGTGATTCATACCAACCCCGTATGACAGAGTGGAACTGCCCCATTGGCTTTCCTAGGCTGTCATGTCTGTGGGAAGAGATCACTAACTAGGTCTTTCTCCCGTGGAGCCGCTGGGTGGTTTGAACCACTAGCCTTTCAGTTAGCTGGTGGGCACTTAACTCTTGTGCCACCAGGGCTCCAGGTGTTCTTTAGACCCTGCACATGCTCAGTCATGCTCTTTGTTGTTGTTATTCGTTGCCATCAAGTTGGCTCTGCCTCTTGGTGACCCCAGGGACAGCAGAGTGAAGTACTGCCCAGTCCTGCGCCATCTTCCCGGATCCATTCATGTGGCCACTCTGTATTTTGAGTGCCTTCCAAACCAGGGGCCTCCCCTTCCAGGCCTGTATTGTACGGTGTCCTGTTGTGACCATAGGTTTTCAGTGGCTGATTGGGGGGAGTCAGTTTGCCGGGCCTTTCTTCCTAGTTTCTCTCAGTCTGGAAGCTCTGCTGAAAGCTGTCCACCGTGGGTGACCCTGCTGGGATTGGAGTACCAGGGACATAGCTCCAGCCT